AATATATATATATATATTGTCTTTTGGCACGTCGCGTTGGTTATATTTATAGGCGTGAGGAGAGTTGTTCGAAATTTCAACTTATGCAAAAATATAAACGATACACCAGTGTTGATTCTTACACTTGAGAATTTTCTACAATTTAATAGGTGGGAATTTCGCAACACAGATTTAACCGTATAAGTTATGTACATCTATACATATATAAATTTAACTTAAACAAACATCGATATTAAAATAGATATAGGATAGTAAATCCGTCACAGATGTCAGTTATGAACCTTTCTTATTTTTAATACTACTGACGATAATAAATTCAAATTATAGAAATAGGTAGACAGTTGAACTGCTTTGATCTGATTACTAAGTTAATAAACAGACTAACCATATGGAAACTGGATTCATCATTGCCATTTAAAACTATCTTAATGTATTTGAAATGAATAACTACATTTCACTTATCTAAGGTGTGTTTTTCTCCCGATTTCCTATTTACATGTTCGTTTACGCGAATATGAAAGCTTCATATAATACAGCAGATGTTATGAAGTAAACAGCAAAGACATGTGATTTGATATTCAACACTTAATCACTATAATAGTATTATTTTTTCTTAAATCTCAAGTAACCTTCAGACTTCAATATACAGTTTAGTTCAACATAAGAACAAGCGAAAAACACTAAAACTAAAGCCTTTGAAAATATTTCAGTTGTATTTTTTTCTCATTTAAACGCTTACCCCATGTATTAGTTTGTTTGTTTGTTTTTGGACAAAGCTATTTGAGGGCTATCTGCGTTAGCTTTTCCTTATTTTGAGTGATAAATTAATGAACACCACCCAACGTCAACGCTTCGGGTACTCTCGTCAAATCTATTGTTGTTGTTTTTTATTAAGCACAAAAGTACACAAAGGGTTATCTGTGCTCTGCCCACCACGGGTATCGAAACACTGTTTCTAGCAATATAAGTCCGCAAACTTACCGCTGTGCCGCTGGGGGGGAAGGCACCGTCAAATCGAATAGTGGAATTTGACCATTACACTTATAACATACCCATGATCCAAATTGCGGAGCCAGTTTTTTTTTTTTTTTTTGTATGTGTGTGTATATATGTGTAATAATGGGACATGAACCACGAAATTCAGCTCCACAGTCCGGCAAGCTAACCACTGGACTGCGCTAGGCCCAACGATAATGGATAAGGTGAAACAAAAGGAACAAAGAGTCCAATTAAGTATTTCTATTTGGGCACGACGTTACTTAACAAACAATTAGTCAGTTCATTAGTAGATTATAATTCACCAAAACACTGTACAAGTATATATATAATACAATTTTTATTTTCATCAGTTAAAAACAATTAACACAAACAAATTTGTCTTAAAAATATAAGAAAAATATTACATGTAAATTGATGCCTTACCATAGAATATTTTATATAATCGCTGTTTTTTAGAAACTGTGATAAAAAACACAGTTAAATATTCAGTAAGAAGGGTAAACGCATGTAATGAGCGTGAAAAAAGTTGATTGTATTTTACTGGTTGTTTTTGTTTCTTTGAGTTATTAAATTAAACTTCGTTAAATATACTTTTTATAATGTTGGCAACAATAAAATTCAGTAACTCATTATATTATTTTCAAGTATAATTTTAAAAGATTAATCATAAAAGGAAAACCAATTTTTTTTTTGTTTCGCACAGAAAGTACCGATTCGATTATAATGTATATGTTTATTTTTAGAGTTCAGCTGTAAGCTGAACTAATGTTGTTTTTTTCCTGATTTACCAACGATTTACTTACCTAAACTCAAACTATGTCAACACTGAAATTAAATCATAGTGAAACAGTGTCATTTTGGTTCTAAATTAAACTTCAGTCGCTTCTTTCGTTTTACATGTTTGTTTTATTCTATTTTTTTTTATTTATATGTAGATTAGTAATGAATATACACGAACTTTGCATACGATGAAAAAGTGTTTCATATATTATGACAGTTTAGTTTAACCGTCCGATAGCTAATAATACCAGTTTCTCAACAATCTCTGAAAAAAGGATAAAGGTAAAGACAGAGTTAAAGTTTGCTGTTAGTGATAACAGAAAGATATAAATTTATTTTAAAAAGTAATTTTGCTATGTTTACAATACGACAAATATTATTATTTTTTATTCCATTTTATTCTTTAAATAGGTATTAGTCACGGTCCTTTGGTGGGTGGTGTTATCGGTGCTAAAAAACCAGTTTATGACATATGGGGGAACACTGTGAACGAGGCTAGCCGTATGGACTCCACAGGAACCATGGACCATATACAATGTCCAAAGTACACTGCTCAGTTTCTGGAAGATCATGGATATAGAGTGCAATATCGTGGGCTGGTGCCCGTTAAAGGTAAAGGCAACATGGAAACTTATTATATCATTGGCAAGAAAATAGGGCGACAGAGAAACGTGGGACGTTCTCAAAGAACGCACAATAGCCTCGCAGCTGTCGTTTACGGAATGGTTCAAGCCCGCAAAAAGCAGGCATTGGGCTCGAGTTTAAGCGTACCTAGTCCGAAACAAAGACATTCTCCCGCGGCAAGTTTTCGTCGTCCTCAGAAACAGAAGTTACAGCGGATGCTCAGCGAAACTCCTAATCCTGGTCGAAGGAAAAACCGACTGGAGGAACGGAGGATGACAGAGACAGCTGGAAGTAGTCATTCCTACCCAGATATGAGATGCGCAGAGCACGATGAGGCATTTCTAGAAACCAAGAAGTAAAATCCCCCAAAGCATATTTCATATAAATAAATATATATATATATATATTTAAAACGTTAAATCATAAATCTTATAAAGAACATTGTCAATGTGCAGTAAGGTTGTTATAATTGTTATAAAATAATAATGTGCATCGTTTCGCACAGAAAATATGTGGCATATTCGTATTATGAATATCTCGCATGTGAATATATTAGAAACACATTTTTGTCGTCATTTTACAGTCTTGTTGTTGCGATATGTTTGATTCACGTTATCCTACAGCTAAACGAAGATACCAAAGTTACATTTTATTTGGTTGTACTGGAGATAATGTTGTCTATGAATGTAACAATGCCAAATATCATAAAATTCCTACTTTGAAGAATTTCTTTTTATTTTAGTTCTTTGAAATCACCCATTGTCATCTAAAAATGTCATAGTTGTGATTATAGCTGTTGAACAATAAAAATAGTTCATTATGTGACTATACAGAGTTGAGTTTTGGTTACTTATTATTTGAAATAATCGCAAATGCCTCTTGTTTTACTATTGGTGATAAGAAGCATTATCGATAAAAATGCTGAATCAAAGGTATCAATTCTCATGTTATCATCAAAAAGTGTCGAAAAAGAAAAACATTGTCTTGGTTTACATGTAATTTGTATACTCAGTGCTGCAATATAAAGCATAAGAAATTCGTTTTGAAACATAAAAAAATTGAATAATCAACACTGAATATGTGTTCCTCTAGCATTAACTATATGACGATATCGATTAAGCATAAACGCCAGAAGTGTTTTGAGATTATCAAATGGAATTTTCTTCTGTTATTATTAAAAGCTCAAAATGTTACCATATGTTAATTGGTCCCTCTTTTAGGACATTCTTTTTCAAATTGTGCCACAAATTGTAATTTGATTAACATCAGAACTTGAAGCTTGCCATTTCATAATTTTTATATCTCCAGCTTTTCCCTTATTCTTCCAAAGCCATATTCTACCCGGTATTAGCATGATGAAACTGAAAACAACGGGCTAATTAATGTAGTCTGCTGAGTACAGCGTGACGAATCATAAATAAACTATTTTTTCCATTCTTGCAACAAAAACATATCCCCTTATAGTTATATTCAACATCATATTTCACTGTTTTGCTTATACACTTTTGCTTAAACTTCTCATGATCAAGTCTATATGCAAAAACTCTCCTAGAGTTTTAAAATACCCAATCTTTGTTTTTTCAGGACATAGCATATGATCCTATATCTTTTACCGGTTTTTAATATATATATATTGTAAGGTTTAAATTGATTTCATTCACTTGTGAAATATTAGACTATTTATCTTCAACTTTTCCATAATCACTTTCTTGCAACTGTCTTCGAACAACTCTATAGCTTATTCTAGTTTCTAACTATTCTGTATTTCTACATTTACTTCTGAAAACTTTTCAAATCAATTTTATGGAACGCATCATTCTCCCGCTGAATGTATTTATTAAGCATCCTTTCTTATTATACTCTAAAGTCCCTGTATTGGCAAAGAGCTCTAATGTTCTTTGGATTGCGTATTTCAGAATATTACATTTTTAGCAATATACTGTTCAGTTTTCTTTTCATTACGTTAAACAATTATTTGATGCGTTTATTTTTTAATTGTATTAATTTTTTTTTCAGTCTTAGCTATGTGGTACTTTACTGTTCATTTACTGCTTTAAACACGATTGAAACATGTGTTTAGTAATTTCAAAAATAAGTGAAAAGTAAATGTACCATTATCAAAATATGCATCAATGGGTGAAGTCTGTTTAACCTACATTTAATGTTGTGATAATTGATGTGCAATTATGTCAATAATGATGCCTATTATTGTAGATTCTATAATAAAATTAATAAATTTATTTCTTGTTCAACTCAGACTTAGGACCGATACTAGAAATAGTATATATATATATATACTATGTGTATGTTGAGAGTTAGTGGACACGATGACCATTTGAAATATATTTTTAAAAGTACGCTATTTTGTGGGTTCTTTTTTAGCGTTAATGAATCTGTTAAGCTTTAATCCAAAGAAAAAATGGAAAATGACAACTGAATTTTGCTTACGACAGAGCATTTGGATTTTTCGTTTTGTTTGTTGTTAAGCACAAAACTGCACAATGGGCTCCTGTGACGGCTCATCACGGATATCGAAACCCGGTTTTTTACTTTATAAGTCTTCAGACCTAACGCTGAACCACTGGTGTTTTTAGTACCTATGATGGATTAAATATAAAATATCCTTGAATGAATGTTGCTCCTCAAGACGTGAGAAGGAAAACTTGGATAAATTATAACAAAGAATAAATTGAAGTGTCTGAATGAAAACTTCTATTTTATTTAGTGTGACGGTCTTTACTTCCAGAAGAATGGCGTCTGCCTGAAAAGTTGCACTAAATAAATTAGGAACAGTTTTCATTTAGACGTGGTAATTTATTGTTTATTATCATTTATCTAACTAAATATAAAATAAACTTAAGTATATATTTTTAACTGGATTATAGTGATGTGAAAAGTATAGCATTGATTGGAATATTTTAAACGTTTTACTGTCGATTCACTGAATACTGGGAATAATATGTAGTTCTCGATATATTATATTGAAATATTATGTAATGTACGTGTTTTTTTCATCAGAGAAGGTTAATGAAATAGAACCAAAGTTTAAAAACTTGTTTACAGTTGAAGATTATAGATCTCATCTAGATATCTTCTGCTTTTTAACGTTATAAAGACAACCAGATGAAAGCAGTTCTTCAAAAATTTCATATTAATGGCACATTTGTTAAAATACTAAACGAAATAAAATTATTATTTTAAACTTTACTCATGATTTCTAATTCGTAATCATGACATTGGTGTTTTGAAGTCGGAACGCACGTGCTGATATTGTGAGAAAGACAATAAAGTGAAGGAAACATAAAGTGAAGCTTATAAAAAGAATTAACTACATATGCATTGGACTTCTGTTCTTTGTTTTCTCTTTTATCTTCTATACAGAGTATTATAATGTAGGTTATGGTTTTCCTACTTTAATTTCGATCCCTTTCATGATAGGTCGAAACTATAGAGTATAGCATGAGCATCATGAAATACTGGTTTAAATCATTGATACTTAACACCATTATGTAAATTAATTTTAATAGCTTACCTCATTTTACTCTAAGCTGCGCTCTAATTTCCTTAGCGCTCTAAACATTCTCTTTGTCTATAATCGTTGCCATTGTAAGTCTCCTTCACATCACATTAACATGTTTACCCCGTTCTGTCTAAGAAACTCTCCTGCATTTGTGTTTTAAAACCTCCAGTGACATTTTTCATGGTTAAGGTGTGGGCTATGCTGTTCTGTTTAAACTACAGTAGTAACAATTTACTTGTCTTTAACGTGGCAAATATATTCTGGAATAAGAATGCTTTGTTCTTCTTATATGATAGTGTGTTTTAATATTTGAAAGTTTATCTAAATTGTTTTGTGTAATGCTTAGTAAACTTATTGAATTAGTCCTTCTAGTTTATTCGGGTATTCTTTAAGTCAGGAAAATATTTAAGATCCACTATTTTAATGGTTTACCTTAATGTTAAACCGTTAATCCGAATTGATTATTAGAGATTAATAGTTTCCAGCTCCAAGACAAAATTAACAATTTTTTTCGACTATTTGTTTTACTGTACTTCATTCAAATGTGAATGTTTTAACTACATAAGCATTTAAAACCTTTGTTTATTTGTCTGCTGAATTTCGAGCAAAGCTACTCGAGAGATATCTGCGCTAGCCGTCCCTAATTTTGAAGTTGTAGACTAGAGGGAAGATAGCTAGTCGACACCGTCAATCCTTGGACCACCCCTTAGCAATGAATAGTAGGAATGACCATCACATTATAGAGCTTCAAGGCTGAAAGGGCGAGAATATTCGATGGCGGGACTCGATATCACAACCCACAGATTGCAAGTTGAGCGCCCTAACCACCAGGCCATACCAAGCCCTCCTTTAAGAATTAATCATCCGCCAAAGGATCTATTATGTTTTGGGGTACTTCAAGGAAAACCAAGTGACTATGAGATCCACGCTAATGTAAGAAGATGTTTCTTTGTCCACGTTCCTTTACTCTTCAGGTAGAACTTTGATACGTTATGTGAAAATCATTATAAAGGAACGGACAGCGAATACTAATCATTTCGTTGATGTTATGAATAGTCTTTTCAGGTAATCAGCAAAATAGATTGATCACTGTACATCTTTCCATTCGTTCACTAAGGAAACAATCTCATCTTGGGGTAACAGGCTTTTCACAGCACTTTTTCCTTAACAATCTGTCCATATATTGTTGTTTTTATAGAGCTAAGAAAGTGGAAGTAATTTTAGTGCAGTTTGAGTATTCTCACTGGCGTTTTCACCTTCTTAATAGGTCATAAAAAAAACTTTATGTATAACATCTATAACATTATTACTTAATAAACATATTGTTTTTAAGTTTTTATAATACTTAATTAAATTCTAAACCGCTACATGTTACCATTTGTGGTATCAACGACGAAGATTTGGGTAGCCATGTGGCTACAGCGTATTAGATGATCTGCGTATTAGTATAATTGTAATAATAATGGTGGCATTTCATCTATTCATGTATATCCGACCTTCTTGATAAAATTTCAAGACCTTTTACGATTGACTCATTTATAGATAGCTTTTATTATAATGGCTTGATTATTTCTCGCAATGAGAACTTATTATAGTTGAAATTTGCTTAAATCATTACCACGTGACCCCAGTTAGCAGTAATAAAATACACACATTCACGCACACTAGTCAGTTGGAAAAATTCATATTGTAAAAGATAAAATTCAAAGAGCTATTTTTTAAGACAGACAAAGGAAATATAATGTCATTAGCTTTTTCCAAGTTATTTTAACTGACTTCAATTCCTTAATATCGTTGATACTTTTTACTTAAAATTGCCTGTATATTGCACTTAGGAATAACAGTACAAAAAAGTCATCTGAACCACAATACCAACAGGTAAGAAGCCATCATCATACAATGGGATTAACTCCCACTCCTCATAGATTGACTGACCCATCCTCACAGATTTACTTACCCTTATGGATTAGTCTACTAGCTTGGAAATTAATTTTCATCATAAGAATCCTACACAAAGAGTTAAAGATAAACTTTCGAAAATACGAAGTCTACAGGAGTGGTAAGCTGTATTCAACACCAACCAAAGTATGGCGCTTACTAAAAGTCAATGACAGTGGGCCTCATCTTGTTTATTGCTGTACAATGTAATTGAGCTCAATGTTTCTTCCTTAATAGATGCATATGTTTTGTGGTTTTAAAACATACATTTATTTGGTTAATTTATCATATTTGATTATCATTATCCTAATAATATGTCATAGCTCAATCTCATCACTTTCACTGAAGCAGATATTGTTAGCTGTGTTAACAAATATGACATATAGGTACATGTAATAAGTTTACCAATGACCTCTCATTAGTTATACCTGACGTCTACAAAATAAAAGCAACTTAACATTATTTAAGTTTGTGAAATAAATACATTTTAGTCATAAAAAGCTGATCGTGTAAAGCATGTTAGATCGATTATCGTTGCCAAATCAATCATTCACGAATTATGCTAGATCATGACGTTGGTGGTAAGATTATTTTCATTGATGTTATCTAGATTAAGTTAGTGTGCGTGTGAGTTTTATAGTAAAGCCACGTCGGGCTAGCTGCTGTATCCACCGAGGGAAATCAAACCCCTGATTTTAGCGTTGCAAATCCGTAGACTTACCGCAATCCCACTGGAAGACGATTAAGTTAGTGTTCGGGTAAAATGTTCAGGCAGACTTTATAAATGAGTAGAAAGTTAAATATGTTAATATATAAATGGTTCGTTCTGTGATATTTTTGAGGTTAATAATTCTGTTCAAAACTTCACTTTTTCCGTCAGTTTCATGTTAATAATGGCTTCTAGTGCACGCGACTGATTTCAGCACTCTAAAATTTTATTTTTACGCTTCAACACCATGTAAAGTCGTTAAGATTAGAAACAATGTTTCCGAACAGATGGCAGCACAATATATTCGCTAACGCCTTTGAATTGTTTTATTCTTTTTAGATTAGAATAAAATATTCACATTGTTTCAAAAAATACACAACTGGGGCGAACTCGGCCTCCTTCTTTTCTTTCGTGTTCCACCAGTTGCTGTTACAAGATTATTTTTCACTTGTAGAGAAGACACTAGGCTTCACTTTCAATAAGTTCGCAAGCTTGGTGGCTAGAGCGCTCGACTTTCAATCTGCAGGTCGTGGGTTTGAATCCCTGTCACCAAACATGCTTGCTCTTTCAACCCTGGTGCGATATAACGTGACAGTCAATCCCACTGTTCATTGGTAAAAGAGTAGTCCAAGAGCTAGTGGTGGGTGGCGTTGACTAGCCGCCTTTCACTTATTTATCACTGCTAAATTAGGAACGGCTAGCGCAGATAGCCCTTAAGTAGGCTTGCGCGAAATTCCAAATAAACCAATCCAACATACTTGCCCACTGGCTAAGCGGTAACCTGCCTGCTTACAACGCTAAATATCGGTTTTCGATAGCCGTGGTGAGCACAGCACAGACAGCTCACTTTGTAGTCTTTGTGCTTAACAATCATCTAATCAATAAACTTTACATAAAGATAATAAATAGATAGTACTTTGCGAGCTGTGAAAAATATCAAGATAATTTAAATAATCTAAATTGTTTGATTTTTAAAAGTTTCCCAGTTAGTATTCGAGTATTCAATACTGTTTGTAAGTCAAACTGCTGAATTATAGTCCAGAAATTATTCTATTTTTGTTAACTTTCATCTAAGTAAAATTGTCAATTTAATGAGACTGGATGTG